AACAATCTAAGTTTGAAAAAAAATGATTTATTCCTGGTGAAGTTGATTGCTTCAGGGATGTGTGAGATTTTCAATTATTAATATTGAAATGAACATATATATGTTACACTTACATTCTCTGCATTATACACATAACATCTCAGGCAAGCCAAACACATCATTGATTGGCCGTCTTTGGCAATATGGAATGCCTTCCAAATGCCACTACTAACATTGCCTGTCTGTGGTTGATAATCATTTGGATCCCCAAGCTGTCCATTGGAGGCCGTCTTCTTCTTCTTTTGTTTGGTTATCATATCTATCTATCTATAAAACAACTGAATTAATGAATGAATGAGTCTTGTGTGTTCACCCACACATGTCTCACCCTCGGTTATTCGATCCGGTTTTGATAAAAAAAAAAGGTGGTCGGTTCGAATAATTGAACTTCTTTCGGATTGGTAAAAGGGTCCGGTTCGGTTTATTCGGTCTCGGTTAGTCGGATATCCGAACTCGGTCTCAAACACTGTTGGAGATGTTGACATTAACTTCTTCAAGTGACTCGTTTGGCACTCCATTGTGGATGTCGTCAAAGGAAGAGTCGCTGAAAGCATCTTTCGCCACCACCTTCGTCTGATTCTCGACTAGACGTTTCCTAATCTCCCTTGCACTCTTGGCCTTGGCGGCCCTTCGCTCTTCTTCTCGCTTGATGGCTCTCCTGTACCTTCTCCAGACTACTCCACGGTAGTTACTGTGCTCGTTGTCCACCAGGGCATTGGCTTCAATCAATTGATTGGTCAATTGACAGCAGTTGTAGAAGTCCTGATCGAGGAACTTGTGGTCAAGCTCGTATCTGAATCGAAAGAGGAGATATCGGTTGACCAAACGACCAAAGAAGCACTCGATGACCACTCTCCTCTGGGTGAGAATCTTGTTCTTTAGCTTCTCTCCTTCACTGGCCTTTGCCAGCTCGGGTGACTTCATCAGAGCAACGCGCCGCACGCCAGGAGTCCTGTCGGATGGACCATGATATGCTTTGTCACCAAGTAAGATAAACCTCTGTGTCCTGTAGCCATCGATCTCACCAGGGCGCTTCACCAGGTAGTGAGCATACTTCTCATGCTCCTCCTTATGGATTGTGAAGTCGTGCTTCGACGCCAGTGTTTGAGACCGAGTTCGGATATCCGACTAACCGAGACCGAATAAACCGAACCGGACCCTTTTAGCAATCCGAAAGAAGTTCAATTATTCGAACCGACCACCTTTTTTTTTTATCAAAACCGGATCAAATAACCGAGGGTGAGACATGTGTGGGTGAACAACACAAGACTCATTCATTCATTAATTCAGTTGTTTTATAGATAGATAGATATGATAACCAAACAAAAGAAGAAGAAGACGGCCTCCAATGGACAGCTTGGGGATCCAAATGATTATCAACCACAGACAGGCAATGTTAGTAGTGGCATTTGGAAGGCATTCCATATTGCCAAAGAGGGCCAATCAATGATGTGTTTGGCTTGCCTGAGATGTTACGTGTATAATGCAGAGAATGTAAGTGTAACATATATATGTTCATTTCAATATTAATAATTGAAAATCTCACACATCCCTGAAGCAATCAACTTCACCAGGAATAAATCATTTAAAAGCAAACATAGATTGTTTATCAAAGCTTGGTCTCACTAAAGAAGAAGTCCTCGAGAAGAATAAGAGCAAACAACTATCAACAATGGATATGTTCACGACCAAACTCTCAAACAGCAAACAACTCACCCAGCTGAGTCACAAGGAATGGGTACTTCGTTTTCTTGGAATCGGTTATCCGGTCGAATATCGGTTAAAGGAGATATTCGGGTAACCGAGCTCGGTTACAATCTTTGAGCAACTACACGACCGAGTAAGGAATTATCCGAACCGAAGGATATTGATATCTCGTTTATTCGAACCGAGTAGTATAATAAGCTCGGTCTCAAACACTGTTCGACGCAAGGTGATGCTTGCTCACAAACACGGCGTAGTGGGGCTTGGTTCCGAGCACGGCCACCTCAAACTTGCATCCGTAGACATGATTCTTGCCGTCCCAGTACATCTTCTGATCCTTGAAGGGCTCCTGTACTTCCTCAGCGTTGGTATAGTGTAGAGTCAATGATC